TTAGGAATGAAAATCATTCAAAGAGATGGACCATATTAAAGTATTTGTATATAGGCTATTAACATATTTTTTTAAAAATGTAAAACAAGCAGTAGTTTGCATACATGTCATGAATATAAACAGGGGTCTGGGATGGGGTGAGGGGAAGGATCGAGTTCCTGTCTCTTTACGTCTTAATGGTTGAAAACTCCTAAAATGAATGTTGACCTCAAATCCGACTTGTCCTCCTTATTTTTCAAGTGGGGGTGTCTCCATTTGAGTGAAAAATTCCTGAGAGGGATGTTTAACAACAAACAAACAATTAAATGACATAAAAACACAATATTGATTTGCGTTAAGAAATATGCAGGGGATTTTTTCCATCATAAATCTTCTTCTCAAGAACAGCAAGGGCATTATTGTCCCCCGTTTTGGGGGAAAGGGAGGGAACATTAAATCTTATTTGTCTGTCAGTCTGGCCATCTTTGACAGTATGTGCATCTGTCACAATAAATTTAACCTTGATCATAACTTTTGAATAATATGAGATAGGGCTTTCATATTTCACATGTACATTACCACAAAACTTTCTAAATGTACTATGATTTTTTAACCCAAGTGAGACCTTGACCTCAAAATTTTACCTACTTTCCAAAAAATAACATTTTAAATTAATCATTTTGAAAGAGAAAAGATATGGCATTTAAATTATACATGTATATTACATGTGAAAAGACTTTTCTAAATACATCATGACTTTTGACTTTCTGATCTTGACCTAGAAGTTTAACCTACTTTTCAAAAATATTATATTATATATTTATATATATATATATATATATATATAACTTTTGATTGAAAAGAGATGGGTCTTTCATATTTGACATGTACTTTACCTGCAACAAAATATTTCGAGCATGCGATGATTTCCCCCCTTTGACCTAATTTTCATAAAGTGACATATGATAGGGATGCATATTTGATACACAATCTGCCATAAATTATGGCATCCCATTCACTTTAACACAGAAAGCAAAGGACCACAATTCTTTGAATTTGCATGTATAATCTTGATATGGAAACATCCTCATATAATGTATATTCAAGTTTTTTATGCTACGCCATGATTAGGAATACATGTATTAGTTTTTGTCATGTCCGTCCTCCACCCTTCCATCTGTCTTTCCATCGAGCTCAAAGAAATTACTTTCTAGATATTTTATCAAAGTTCATATGCTGATGCATATACTGATGTAAACTATCCAACTGTGGCAATATTTTTTATGCGCCCGGATCGATAGGTCCCGGGCATATATTGTTTTTGTCCTGTCTGTTTGTCTGTTTGTCTGTTTATCTGTTTGTCTGTTGTCAGCTTTAACCTTGGCCATAACTTTTGAACAATAAGATATAGAGACTTCATATTTGGTATGCATACTCCACTATTTAAGTCCTTTCAAATGACATCAAGGTCAATGACCTTGTGACCTTGACCGTGACCTAGATGCTAAAAATAGCTTTTTACACTTTTTGCCTTAACTTTTTAACCATAGGAGATAGGAACTTCATATTTAGGATGCATACTCCACTGATTAAATTCTTTCAAATGACACCATGGTCAATGACCTTGACTGTGACCTATATGCTAAAAATAGCTTTTTACACTTTTGGCCATAACTTTTAAACCATAGTAGATAGGGACTTCATGTTTGGGATGCATACTCCACTGATTAAGTTCTTTCAAATGACACCACGGTCAGTGACCTTGTGACCTTGACTGTGACCAATATGCTAAAAATAGATTTTTTGAACTTTGTTTCCGCCGGGCGCATAGTGTTTCACAAACACATCTTGTTTACCTTTACTTTCCTTTGACCTTTACCTGTTTACTTAACTTTTCTTAAAACCTAAGTGTTTAGCTTTATTTTAGAGAAACCATAATGATTCAAGTTGTGTAATGAAACTTCACATGATGATACATACTGATGTAAGCAATTAGAGCTTTACAATGCTTCACTCTTTTTTACCTTGACATTTCCTGTGATCTTGACCTCATGATCACTGTCTTAGACTAGATCAGTTTTGAATAAACAGTTCAAGATATATTAATCATACTTCATATGCTAATACATACTGATGAGAGCTATTATTGCATTAACTTATTTTGACCTTGAATTTTCTTTTGACCTTGACCTCACTTTTTAAAATATGTGTTTATCTAAGTTTCAAATAAACCATTAATTATATTTTTATCAAAATTCATATGATAATAGTAAATTCACACTGATGTAAGCTTTTCAGCTAGAACAACATTTTGACCACAACCTTTCCTTTGACTTCTCTTTTCTTAAAACAAAGTGTTAAGCTCAGTTTCATTAAATCATTCAAGATATTTTTATCAAACATAATAAGCTAATATATATTAGTGAGAGCTATTCAGCTGCATCAAAAACTTCATCTTGCACATTCCTGTGACCTTGACCTCCCTCCTCTTTAATATGTATTTTGCTTAGTTTTTAAGAAATAATTTAAGACATTTTTATGTTTAACATGCACTTATACATAATTTGATGAGAATTTATTATCTATATCCAATTTATTTATATTTTAGTTTCAATTCTGAAAAAAAACTGTTTAAGATATTTTCATCAAACTTTATACACAAATACAAATTTTAGTTTTTAGTTTTTAGCTCACCTGAGCCGAAGGCTCAAGTGAGCTTTTCTGATCATATTTTGTCTGGCGTCCGTCTGTCTGTCTAGCTGTGTGTAAACTTTTCACATTTTTGACTTCTTCTCAAGAACCACTGGGCCATTTCAAGCAAACTTGCCACAAAGCATCCTTGGGTGAAGGGGATTCAAGTTTTTTTCAAATGAAGGGCCATGCCCTCATTCAAGGGGAGATAATTGGGAATTAATGAAAATTTGGTGGCATGTTTTAAAAATCTTCTTCTCAAGAACCACTGCTCCAGGAAAGATGAAACTTATGGGTTAACATCCTCAGGTAGTGAATATTCAAATGTGTTCAAATCATGACCCCCGGGGGTAGGGCAGGGCCAAAATGGCCGACCAAAGTTTTATATAGAAATATATTGGAAAATTCTTTAAAAATCTTCTTCTCAAGAACCACTGTGCCAGGAAAGATGAAACTTATGGAGTAACATCCTCAGATAGTGTAGAACTGTAGATTCAAGTTTGTTCAAATCATGACCCCCGGGGGTAGGGCCAAAATGGCTGACCAAAGTTTTACATAGAAATATATAGGAAAATTCTTTAAAAGTCTTCTTCTCAAGAATGACAAAGCCATAATTCATCAAATTTATATGGAAGCATCCTCAGGTAGTGAAGATTCAAGTTTGTTCAAATCATGACCCTGGGGGTAGGGCGGGGCCAAAAAGGCCGACCAAAGTTTTACATAGAAATTTATGGGAAAATTCTTTAAAAATCTTCTTCTCAAGAATGACAAATCCATAATTCATCATATTTATATGGGAGCATCTTCAGGTAGTGTAGATTCAAATTTGTACAAATCATTTTAGGAATAAAAGGAAACACATCTTTAAAGTTCTTCTTTTCAGGAACACGAAGAGCATGATTAATATGGAAATATTCTTAAGAGGTGTAGATTCAAGTTTGTACAAATCATGACCACCAGGGTTATGGAGGTGCCATATTTTTCCGGCCCCTTTTTGCCATCCATATGAAAATTCAAATTTTGAAACCATTTTACACATACACAAAATGAACCAATCATTTTTTAAATGATTATGGTTTAAAACTATTGCAGCATAAGATATTAGGGAAGTTCTTGAAAGCAGGGTGATTAAACATGTCAAATATATGTAAAAAAAAAAATATATAGAAATTCTACCTCGATTTGATCCCCATCCCCCCCACCCCCCGGGCAAAATGAAAATTCCGAAACCTTACTGCACATCTACATGACATTACTAACCATCTCTTAAAAGATGATAAGGCTGCTGAGTAAAATGTAGAAGGAGTTCAGGGAAGAAGGGGCTTTTTGTATAAAAAAACATCATTTTTTGGCCCCCATTTGATCCCCTGGGGCAAAATCAAAATTCCGAAACCTTACTGCACATCTACATGACACCACCAACCATCTCTCAAAAGATGATTAGGCTGCTGAGTAAAATATAGAAGGATTTCAGGGAAGAAGGGGCTTTTTGTATGAAAAACGTCATTTTTCGACCCCCATTTGATCCCCTGGGGCAAAATCAAAATTCCGAAACCTTACTGCACATCTACATGACACCACCAACCATCTCTCAAAAGATGATTAGGCTGCTGTGTAAAATGTAGAAGGAGTTCAGGGAAGAAGGGGCTTTTTGTATAAAAAACATCATTTTTCGACCCCCATTTGATCCCCTGGGGCAAAATCAAAATTCCAAAACCTTACTGCACATCTACATGACACCACCAACCATCTCTCAAAAGAGGATTAGGCTGCTGAGTAAAATGTAGAAGGAGTACAGGGAAGAAGGGGCTTTTTGTATAAAAAACGTCATTTTTCGACCCCCATTTGATCCCCCGGGGCAAAATCAAAATTCCGAAACCTTACTGCACATCTACATGACACCACCAACCATCTCTCAAAAGATGATTAGGCTGCTGAGTAAAATGTAGAAGGAGTTCAGGGAAGAAGGGGCTTTTTGTATAAAAAACGTCATTTTTCGACCCCCATTTGATCCCCCGGGGCAAAATCAAAATTCCGAAACCTTACTGCACATCTACATGACACCCCCAACCATCTCCCAAAGGATGATTAAGCTACTGTGAAAAATGTAGGAGGAGTTCAGGGAAGAAAAGTGTGACAGACGGACGGACGGACGGACGGACGGACGGACATGAGTAACAACAATATACCCGAACTTTCTTTCGAAAGTGCGGGTATAAAAATATTTATTTATCTCTTTTTAATTCAAAAAGTATCATAAAGATGGTATCAGGTATGTTCTTTAGAAATAAAACATCTTCCTTAAATGAGAAATGCTATTTAATGCTTCGTGGTTACATAATTATGTTATTGTATAACATTCATTGAAAATTCTCTTAATATTTATTCTTTTTTTCACAAACATAGTAATGAGAAGAGTCACAATTGTTGTCATTCCAAACACCTTCAGGAAGCAGTTCGACGCAATTTTCACCTGTACCCCCGTTATTAGGTTCACCTGTATCCCAATGTGTGTAATTCAATGTTGTGTTAGAATGTACCCAGATGAACGTGCCCTCGGACTCTTCATCTGTTCCTCCCATCCACCATTTATTTCCGGAGGCTAAAATTTTATAATAGATGGAGTTAAACGTGTGTGATTCGTTGAGAAATAAAGAAAATAGTTAAATATGTTAATATTCAGAAAATAATTGAATATACATTTAGGAAATGGTTAAACAAAGGTATTTTTGGAAATTTTTAATACTACTAGTAGTCCAGCGCATATTTTTATTAACTTATTGAAAAATGGTTCACATTCATTCCGTTACTGTTTTCCCAATATCCTGGATCTGTTGGTTTTTCAAATGAGACCAAGAATCAAAAATGTTATTAAATAGAGTAAACCCCCTGCCAAAACATTCCGAAATACATATTGTGTGAAAAAAAATGATAATTCTCAAGGTATTCCCAGCCTCCCATGAGTCTTCCACAGGGCGCAGTGGTTAAAATGTCCATTTTATTCGCGAGCCAGCTTAGGAGTTTACCTTTACGTCGAGTTTTCGAATCCCACTGTGGGACGTTGATAAATAGTCCATCGAATTAAATACATCATCAACCAATTTGAGTTGGTACAATGTACTCAAGACATGTGGATTTTCATTTACCATTTTTCCTTATCTTCTTTCTCTAATAAATTTATAATTATTTAGTTTACATTACCTGATTTAAAAATACTCAAATTGACTAATTCAAGTTGTACACAGTCCGACCAATGTTTAAATTCCCTGCTATATATAATTAGATAACGTCGACATATAAACGTCCATGCTATGTTGAATTTCCATAAAATCACATTACTTTTTCACTTTTGTGTTAAAATTAACGTAGGTTTTTAAATTAGAAAAACTATTTATGATAATCCTTCTACATTTTGTCGTAAACTACATTATTGGACTATTTTTCAGTCCTCAAATTACGGAAAGAAAACACAAAAATGTACCTTTGTTTTGAATCAAGTTTTGTTCAGCCTCACTCTCTATTTCAAGAAGATGTGCTTCCAGCCAAATGCAGCTAGCCTAAGGGAATAAAGTTAAATATACACATTTTCACTAGAGAGCTTAAACAGAATTCTGATTTCCAAGAACATTTTGATTTGATATACATTATCTCAAATTTAGATTGTTTGCATTTTGTGTAAATCATGCTTTCAACTTTGCAATTTGATATTTACCTCAAAAACAACGATCGTACAATTTCATTAAATCTTATCAATTTATTGCAATTGACTTAAATAAAAATACAGCCAGATAAGGTCTACAATAAAATGGAGAAATATTTCCTGTGTATTTAAATGACACCATATTCAAGTGCCATCCGGTGAAATCGTGATTTGTCAATTTGATTTCTATGCCTCTATTACTATATTTATTGCAGAGAACTTTAAAATGTTAAAGTGCTCAAGAGAAATTCAGAAATTCTGGCACCATTACTTGATTGATTGATTGTATACTGTTTAACGTCCCTCTCCAGAATATTTCACTGATATGGAGACATCACCATAGCCGTTGAAGGGCTGCAAATTTAGGCCTATGCTCGGCACTTACGGCCTTTGAGCAGGAAGTTATCTTTATCGTGTCACACCTGCTGTGACACGGGGTTTCGGTTTATACGGTCTCATCCGAAGGACCGCCCCATTTAGTCGCCTTTTACGACAAGCAAGGGGGTACTGAGGACCTATTCTAACCCGGATCCCCACGGAAGCCATTACTTGAAAATTTTCTCGTTGAAACACACTTGTTCTTTACCTTATATGATTTAATCAAAGAAAAGAAACATTTTTTTCTTATGAAATGCACCATTTTGAATCAGACATCGTAAATTGTTATTGACATTTATTTAAGCAAGTGAGTTAAGGCTAGTTATAGGTTTTCTATGCAAATGAGCTAATAAAAATGCATCAATTGTATATTTTATGTACAGAGAAAGTTCAAATTGATTTTCTTATACATACTAAGTACCCACAGTATATTATTGCAAGTGCACATAATGACGTCATATTATGACGTCATAGTTCTTTCCCATTCAAGGTAATAAAACACATCAAAAAACAACGTCGGCGCAAGGGCATATCCTATCTAATTTAAAATAAATAAAGTATCATATTAAGGAAAATATTCTAAAAATTAATAAAATTGCTGCACAAATCTTATCCTCTTCTTCAATCGATAAAAATTTTACTAAACTTACACTGGACTGTACATTTTTACCCTGTTTGAACTTAGAACTGTGCAAATAGTAACTAAACAATTGCAGTGTCGACATTTGTGCAGCAATATCTTAAATCTTTGGAATATTCTGCTTCTCTTTATACCTTGTTTCTGTAAAACAAAGTAAGGTATGCCCTTGCGCCGAAGCGATTTTGTTGATGTTTCTTATAAACTTGTATATTAAAGATCGATGACGTCATAATATGACGTCATAATGTGTACTGGCAGTCGCATATCGTGGGTACCAAGAATGTATTAGAAAACAAGTCTTAACATTTTCTTTGCGGTATGTATAGCAATAATGGGTCTTACTTAATTATTTTGCATAGAAAACTCCATACAGAGCCTTAACTCACTTGCGTAGATTAAGCCTTTCTCTGTTTTGTTCAGAAGCCATTCCACTGTATGATTTCAAGAATGTGTTCAAGTGATTATACTACGCAAGATATGCAAAACAAATTAGGAGAAACCTGAAACTGTTAATCGTTTGTCTTTGTTTCCAACCGGTCAAGGTATCGTAGTGGCAGAGCACTCGCTTTGTTTTCCGGAGGCCTGGGTTCGATTCTCGAGCGCAGCGCAGTGTCAAACCTAAGACATACACTGTAAACGTTGGTAGTGACTGTTCCTTCCCCAAGCGCTGGGAAATAGAAGTAAAAGTCACAGGTCTTTCGAATATGATATTGAAATGTACGTCTCATGTCACGGTTAGCATGAAAAGCCCCCACTGCTCAATGGCCCTGAGTGCCGAGTATAGGTCTGGATTTGAAGCCCTTCAACGGCAAACGGTAACGTCGCTATGTGATTGAAAATTCTCGAGTGAGATGTAAAACAATATTCAATAATCAATCAATCTTGTTCCCATTGAGAGAAAATCATAGAAAATAAATATAATTGAAAAACAGCCGTTTTAGTTATCGTATTCTGACCCGTCCTTGACCATGTTACATGTAAAGTGCGTAGAATGCATTTTGCGATTACTGTAAATTCTATAGTAGCAGTCTGTTTACTGTCTAATTTACACGTAAGACAATGCGTATCGTATTGCATGAAGTTGAAAACTTAAGATTCTTTAATGAAATTAGCATGATATGTTTCGTTTTATTTTATAATGTGTTTACATGTATTAATGTTTGGTATTGTTAAATTTGCTATAATTGACAGAATATAGTGTCTGTACATGTACATCCATACGTCTGTCCTTCCGTCTCTTACGCTTTGTGATACCCATCTCTTATCCGCAACTCCGGCTATGCCAACGAATAAAATTTGATGGCATCTTTATTGATTCTTTGTTATATAGTTCCATTGTGCATCTCGTATTTACATTTTTATTCGAAACATATTTCGGATTTTTTAAAGCAAAATAGTGACAGTTTCTTTTTTTTGTATATTATTGAAAGGTAGTCTTATCCACAACTCCTCTTATACCAGTGAATAATGGTGAAGGATAGTTTCTCAGTTTCTTTATTATATAATGCCAATGTGCATCGTCTATTTTAATTTTTGACCTGGTACTTATTTTCGGTCTTCCAGAAAAAAACATGGACTTTGCCATTATAATCATTTGAGAGGCTTGGGTATCATTTAGAGATACACTGCCAACGGAACAGTTGTTCATTTCTCAAAAGACGGCCATCCGAGTTCCAATTTTCCGTTCTCATTGTAACAAGCAGAGCATGGCCATAGAAGGTATCCATCAAGCCAAATTGGAGAAAATATGGCACCTCCTTTGAAACTCTATATAAATGATCTGAATTTTATGAACTTGTAGGCAACATCACTATTTTATTACGGAGATCGGGTTGTCAATAACTACCAGAGAGATTAGATGTATATAAAATGTTTTTTTTTAGCATACAAGGTGATTTTATAGGAACACACTTTAATTTCCAGCCATAATATTTGATGAAAATGTCCTATATATTTTTGAAAGCTTTCATTTAGCCCACTTTGCAGAGTACTCGCTCCATGATCAGAAATAAGTGGGTTCAAGCATCGGCTGCGACAAACCTAAGTTTATGAATAATTGTTAGCAAATGAATCGTTGCCAAACGGTTGGTACTTTGAAGTTGGCGGTCTATAGGTTGAGACCATTATCCTTGTCACTGCAGGCGTTGACATGATGAATATCTTACTTTCCAATGATCAAAGTTCCGAAATATAAATTCTCACTTCACAGCCCTTCACAGCCTTCACAGGCATATGATTAAGTATGATTACTGTAGTAATTTTAAATAATGGTAAAAAGACATGGCACTATACATATTGAATAATTGTATTTCTATTATAAACTATTAAAGAGCTCTTAACTTCGTTGTGAGTTTTAGTTATCCAACGGAAGATCCCAAATCTCCTACCGCCTCAAAAGACATACCTTGGCAGCCTGCCACTTAAGAGGACTGTTCACAAAACAATATTTCTTCTCCCCAATTATCTGCCATCCTGTTGGGCATTCTGCAATATACTAGCATAAATGGAACATTGGAAGGGAATACATATAAAGTTATTTACTGAACTTTATTTCACTATGCAAAGAGTTATTAATCGTTATATTGTTGTTATATTGTTGTTAATTTGGATACTATTGTTGCCATTTCTATTCCACTTTGTTTCATACCACATAGGATACTACAAGTGAAAAAAAAATTCTTTAAATTTTACTTCGGGTCATTCATTAAACACTCATACAGTACTCTATGCACAGACATTTCTTTATAAATATTTAGGCAAAAAGAAAAAAAACTGAAATATTGCAGAAAATGCCATTTAAAAGGATGTCTCTAACTCTACATTTTGTAATTATTTTTCAACAAAAATATTCATTATTGTCTATATTATCTTTTCAAATATTTTTGGTCCTTTCACTTTAAATGATTTTACATAAAGAATTAAAAATGTATGTTTTGACACACATTTTCAAATGCAATTGACGTATAATTCTTTACTCAAACATTGATTTGTTAACATGAGATGGGAAGGTATTATATAAGTGCAATTTATCTGCAACATTTTGTTTTAGTACTGCATACGTGTATATTTCTTATTCATTTAATCACGTCAAGCAAGACATTTTAATATTTGATCAAGAATTATTAATCAAACTTAGTTTTACTGAGAAAAGTTTACTTTCAGTCGAAATAATTTAATTTCACTTGTATCAAGGAATTTTATTGGCTGAGTCATTCAGAAGAACATATAATATTTTGGATAACATAACTTGCCTACGTTACAGTGAGTTGCGTCAAAAACGTATTACTCCGCTTGACGTTACTTTTAAAATAATGCTCAATTTGAAGCCTTATTCCGGAGGAAAAATTATCATTGTCTATACTGAAATTAGATTATAAGGAATGAAGATAATTTCAACTTATGTTATACCATATATAAAAACTTGGGGCAGTTTACGCTTTTTTATAAACCGCGAAGCGGAGCGTAAACTGCCCCATGTTATGTTATATCGTATAACATAAGTTGAAATTAGCTTCATTCCTTAAATAATCAATCAATTTTTTTTCAATTTTTGCGGTAGACTTAAAGAAAACATGATTTCGTTCTCCAAGAAGCTTTGCAATGTTTTAAAGGATGTCTTTTTCACCTGTAAACCATTTGTTTATTACTTACTGCCATTTACACAGAATGGTTTTCCGCTTCTCAGAGGCACGCACTCCTCTTTACACGATGTTGCCTTACAAGATCCAGTCAGCTCCTGTGAAAAAGGTAAACCCATTGGTCTTAGCTTCTGTACCTTCCTTCGCCTATTTAAGGTCATGAATTTATTTGAATTTTATGAAAATCTTCTATTTATTGCATAAAAAGAACGCTATAAAAGAAACCAAAACTTTTACGACTTGTAAAATGGAAAATTCAACTTTAATTTAATGGATACTTGAACAAAGCGTGACTGTGCTGTTGTATAAAGATTTTTTTTTCTAAATAGCGTTTTGTGCAAAGATAAAAATTTTATCTTTGAATGTATGGAGAAAAATCAATGAACTCAATCTAAAAAGCATGAACATTACGACAATTTTGTGCGGCTTTGTGATTCTTGTAAACAATTGTTTAAATTGATTTCTATATAAGATAAATCATTTATTGTAAACTAGCTCTTTCCCCTTTCCTTATTACAATTTAAGTCAAAGATTCTTGCTTAGTTACAACAAAAAATCAGAGCCTACTTATATGTATACATGTTATACTGTAAACCAACTTTTATTCGCGACGACTTTATTTCCCGATCTTCTAGGATTCAACTAGTTCTCGACGATTAATTTTCGCGATCAAGCCTTTTTTGATCTGTTGTTAATAGACATTAAGACTTTACGGACTAGTTCGCGGCGAGAAATATTCGCGATGACGAGGCTCTCGCGAACTTCTTGAAAATATCTCGCACGCGAATAAAAGTTGGTCTACAGTACTTTAGAGCAAAAATTAAATTGTTGGAATATTCCTACTTTCAGCATTGATTCCTATTGTGACCCATGATCAAGTTAAGTGATCATGACCTTGACCTCTTGCTTGAATCTGGAGAAAATTTTTAAATATTTCAAAGAGGAGTGTGATCCCCCCCCCCCCCAAAAAAAAGTTGTCCCCTGACTTTTTAAAAATAATATCCGACACAATTAGTCCCGTGAACAACTTAAATCCTTCACTAAAGGATGCCGTGTGACAAACTATGTTGTAGTTACCCACTTGCTTTTCATTAAGTTGAAAATTGGTAAAAGAGACACACAGCTGAGAGAAGTTAGAGATCATGTGGCCACGAAAGCTCAAGTTCACCCAAGATTAAGTAAGGTTGATAAGTATTTCAAATCAGACAAGTAAACAAATAAATGACATTTAAGATTCTTTTATACTGATGTCTGTATGTCAATTGACTTACATTAAGGAATCTTTACATGTTATACATATACGTGATGTGCCAAATGTTTGAAAATCGAACCAAGTAAGTCAAGGCATAAATACAAAACCTAGCCGAATAATAAGACTGCAATGTAAACAAAAATCCTTAAGATTTGTGTAACATTAGAAACGCACATTATGTTTATGTTAAGTGTATTGTAAAATCCTCATGCACGAATACTTAAATAATGGTACATTTTGTCATTTTCTGAGCATATAAACATCAATATAATATCTTCTAAGAATTTCCGAGGCGTGTTCAAATTACAATGAGAAGATACAAAGTGCTTTTTTAGTGACCAAAAGGAATAAAAAATAAAACATAGATGTAGTTTTAGTTAGGTATTTTAATAATGTTTGTTACCTAATCTACATCCTTATTGATTAACTTTGTTAAAAAGCTGATATTTTAGCACAAGGATATATGGCTGAGACTGTTTCTGACATTTTCATCTTTTGTCTTTATTCAACGATAAACAACACAGTATACAATGTTCTAGAAACGTCGAGACATTACTAACCTGTGTTTGATTTTCCATTTCAATACAGTCACATTCTGAGTCCAGAACTAATTACGTTCCTGATTCCCCGTGTTTTCCTGCCATCAGTTCACAATGTAGCTGTTTCTTTCGATAGTTCACTGACTTGCACTGGTGATTCTGTAAACATTTTCGAATGCACTGTTTCTGTCCAATGAGGGTTAAAACATTCATGACTTTGCTAGAAGTCATACATTTGCCCGAAGCAGTAACTTTTATGTTGGATACATTTTGAATTTCTCCTGATACAGTATAATGTACTGTAGAAATAAATATGAGAAGTTTTAGTCCAAACATTGTCAATTTGTTAACAAGGATAAAACCAAGGTTATGACTATTTCAAAATGTTCCTATTGTCGCAAGTGAATGTTTGAATAGATGTTAAATATAATTGAACATCAGATTAAATAACAAAATAACATAGTTGCAAGCATGCGCGACCAATTTCATCGAGTAAGTGCATATGCAAAGCTATTTATAATGTTGAGTAAAATTGTTAAAATGTTAAATATCGAACTAATATTGTCTGACAAATATATAAATAATTAAGCATTGAAAAGAAATTATAATGTAAGATAACGAATTTTTCAAAAGCATGCTTTTAAATTAGATCATGAATCATTTATAAATAAAGTTAAAAATGAAACATGGATAACATTCGATATAAAAATACGTTCCAATTACTTTACTTAATTACATATTTGAAATAAATAAAGGCTTTTAGCATATGCGATATGTCTGACGTCATAATACCTGTATCATTCCTGTAGAGCTGATTTGCGGGGCTGATATGGGTCAATATTCCCTTCCCTAGTAATTTTAACTTCAAAACCAGTAATTGTTATCATCCACATATTTTTTTAGGTTCACATTCTCATAATTTTAACTTTTTTGAATGTAAGGAGAACCTAACTGACAAAGCACATGCAATTGAAATAAAAGTAGAAACATACCCCAACCGTGTGAGTCAATAGACTGTGTATATGTAAGAATTCTGTGCAAGATTATTTTCTTTTCAACTTAATGTGTAATACATTTTATTATTAAGTGCTTTGTGATAAACATATTTAAATATAAATAAACATACTAATAAAACATACCCTTTTCCACATCGCATTCTGTATCAGCCCTCGACCAATAGCAGCCTCGCCCCCGGGCTGATATTTTGGTCTCGGATGATACCGAATGTGATATGGAAAAGGGTATGTATTATTCTATATGGAAATAATTTACTTTCTTGTAATTCTGGATTCTTTAAACTATATCAAGTCATTCTTAGTGGTTAGTGGTAGGGTATTCGGTTTTTGATTGTTAGGTCCGGTTAAAATTCTCGTCCCCGGCACCACGTCAAACTTAAATCTTGTTCATAGGTATAAGAAGCGATTACTCTTTGCCAAGACAATTGTGTGGCTTTATAAATATGACCTGGTCTTTTGTATATAAAAATATAGAAGTGACTCGAAAAAAGGGGGATTTAATCGTAAAATTTAACAGCTTTTCGAAAATATGCTGATATGTAGTTATTTTAAATAGTCAAAGCAATTCTAGGATATACGGAAAAGTAGATCCATAAAAATAAGTAACGGTTTTCAAGGTACAATAAAGGAAATAAATAGTTCCCTTAATAAAAAGGTGAATGTTTTGCTTTATTACAGTGTATTCAAAATAAATGCGTTGAAAGGAATTTTCCACAAATATTGCCTAAAATGGTTGACAGGCTCGTAACCAAGGTCGACAAGTCAACAGGTCAACAGTTGTCACCTAATTGTAAAATCCTTTTCACTCAAGATAATTCTCAACAGGTCGATCGACATCAAATTGCGAGATCTCAACACCCCAATCGGGATACTTTTGATTCTACCTTAAAACAAAGGTCGACCAATCAACTTCTCCTTACATATCGTCCTGTCAACCCTTCGATTCGTCCTTCTGAATATACATGTTGACCTTTGAAGCAATTTATCTGTCAAAC